AAAACAGACACTCTAAAAGATAAGCAGTAGCAGCACCAACTTTTGCCTGGAGATCGTTTGGGTAGTCGATTAATATTGATTGCCCTGTGCTTCGTTAAGTCCACTTTTGCATCGAGCCGGTCATAATTGACTGCCTCACTCTCCTCCTGTTCATCAGATCTCTTCTTTGGCGCTTCCACAGCTCGAGAGACATCCTGAACTGAGTTCGATGACACTGGTTGGCAAGGGTGCTTAATGAAGCTCAATGGACAGGCTGACTTCCACACTGCCACGTGTTTTGAACCCCAGCAGCAACAAAGGCAGTGCCCATTTTCAAGAGCCGTTAGGTTGGATAGCTTCTTTCTCATACTTTAGCTCTGAGTCGTATAATGAATTTGCCAGAGACTATGAGCGAATGGGCGGAAGTGGTGTAGTGACAAGTGGCGCGCTCACCACGCGAGCGGTCCGGGATCAAATCCTGGGTCGTGAGTCGCCCGGGCCAACCAAGCCTTCCATCCCTCCGGGGTCGGTTAATTGGTACCAGACTTGTCTGGGAGGATAAAAAACACTGACTTGAACATCGGCTGGCCCCCGCAAGTCATTGTATAGGCCACATCGCATTCAAACGCCACTACGAATGTACAAATGGAAGTAGAATGCGTGCCGCATCCCAAAAAGGGATTGATCAACGGCAAATGCTTTATCCTTTTATCCTTTATGAGCGAATATCCCAGAAGAAGTGGAAGAACAGCCTGGTCTCGGAAACTCTTTTATGAACTTCGACACACATTTTGTGCTTTTCAGGGATTGATTATTGTATTGAGCTCTAACAAGACATAACACTTAATGAACGATTTGTTTTTTTAAAGACGGCGTCTTCTAACTACTGTTGGCGATTCCCAGACGCGAAGAGCGGATTATGGTGAGATGTGTGTCCCTGGAGGCGCTGTTATCTAGCCTAACAATATGCCACATTGCATTTCAGTCGCAAGAGATTGAGTACGTCGTTGCAATCTTAGCACTCACCTTCACATAGACGATGTCCGATTCTTCTGATGGCTCTGATTGTCCCAAAACGTTGTCAGCTCTAACACGAAATAGATAGGTCTCATCACTGCTCAGGTTAAACAGGGTGACGAACGGCTGCTTCGTCGTTTCGGCCTTCGTCCACACATTTTCAGACACCTGCGAGGAATACTGTCAGGGGGTACTGTAATCAGATGATTTCATCCATAGCTTGGACATCAAGCTGACTCGGAAAACGAACAATTCAGAAACCCAACTCTTCAGGAACGCAAACAACCTATTCATTCATGACAGCAAAGCTCTAATCCGAGCAGCATCACAAGAACCCAGCCATTCTCACTGAAGTCTGACAGGCTTAACATCTCATCAACATCATTGTAATCGAACGTTTTCGACCCGTGCCACAGAGGGTGGCATTTGAGAATTGAAACTGGGAAGCACGCATTCCACGTTCACTTGAGAAAGTAGAGCGCAAAACTCACGTACCGTACCCCTACACTTTCTCCCCGTATAAGCGAACGGACAGGTGAGGCCGCCATTTGTGTAGGAGCGACCACAAAGCAAACCGCACTGAGTCCAGTTTTGGTCGGCACCAAGGTCTACCAGGGGGTCCAGGACGATCGGTAATCTGAAAGGTCGGACACATAATCATGTCACGGCGTATTTCAAGCGGTCACATAAAGTAGTACTATTTCGGTCACTGCACGGAATCATTTGATCATAGAGGAGCAAACTGAATTAGTTCTATGGGTTGGTTTGTGGTATAAAAAAAACAGCGCATTCTCCTTTAAAAGTGATACATAGGCACTTGGATGAAAAATCATTTTATCGCAGGGTTATGAACGGAGTATTAGCTGAGATGGTAGAACACAATACCGACTCAAAAAAGCACGCAGCAATACTGTAGCAACGGGGGAATACCCGGCAGGACGATCGTCGCGCGGCAGGGAGGCATAATCTGCGAACGAGTCGCAGCGCGTGCTGGGCACCGTTGTCGTACGATGGCGCCACGGTATATGTACAGTAGCGGTCAAAAGTCTTCGCCGAATTAGTTTTTCGACTCTAACTTTTTTTCCGCTGAATCAAACCAATTCAAATTTTAATATGTTTTAGAGATAGTCCTACTTCACTTAAACGGCATATTTGTTTCGGATTGAGAAAGAATTTAAGAATGGAAAAAATCATTTCACTAGAAATTCTCGCGTATGAGCAAATTCCAAGTAGGTTTCAAATTACTCTAGCAAGCTTACAATTCAACAAAACAATCTTACGCATGATGAATAACACTGGGCAGGTCCAATACTTTGTTAATGATCTTCTGGGTTCGCTGAAATACTAACAAGGCCTAAGTAAGGAATCAGTCATTGAATGCACTGTCTACTAGGGCAGCTTCCTCCACTTCTCTTGAAATTTGACGAGTTTCTCGCCCATATTCCCGGCTCTTATTTCCACCAAAGGTATCCCTACTCTTTCCCATAATGTTTCGATGGCGCTCGGGACATTGGTGTGAATTGTTCCCTTCGTTGAAAGCGCGCCATGCTGTCGAAACCAATCCTTCACAGTGAAGGTGCGATGCTTTTGGTCGCTCTATAGCTAGAAGGCGAACTCAGTCACGTACAGTTTCATACGAGCGGATACGAAACTCCTTCCTAGAATCTATCTGATACGTCGGCATTCACCACTTCTCTAATCCTGTGCAGTTGTAAAACTTCTTTTACGGACTACCACACGCGAGCCTCCGCCAAGTTTTACATACGGCAGTTAATTCCTTGGATCGAAACGTTTTTCCTCAGGACCGCACACATTCCTATTTCAGTCGCCGGCAAACATCTTGAATTACACTCTCGTTGGTCCGCAGGACGTTGTAGCCCTATGGGGATCCCCACTTTAGGTGTGCGTAAGCACATTTCGCCCCCGACCAGATCACCGCCGACTAACTTCGCAGTATTCGCAATCATGTGAAGGCAGCCTATACAGTTGGGTTCTACAGAGCGTTTCATTGGTATACGTCCACCCCTGATTTTACCAAAAACGTTTCTTGAAGACTTTGCCCAATTTAGCAGCATACATTATCGGATTCACTGTGTTAGAAAACTACGAAAAGCACGTTCTCAAAGAAGTAAGATTACGGGGAAATTTTTTAGAAGTACTTCTTCGATTTTCGACCGTTTCATAATATACGTCCACTCTTAGTATACTTCTCGAAATAAATTTCCCTGATCCAACCGAAGTGCGTGTTTGTACCAGATGTAGAACCGACTAGTCTTCTCGCGATGCCCGTGGTCTCCGTCTCTTTCTGTAGAGGAAAAGACTCGATTTCGGGCTCTCCATGATGGCGGACTCAGGCATCGGCAAACCACCAGACAAATCGACAGGATTCACTGCTTGCTTTGCTTTCATCTCAGAGATTCTGAAGGCTACCTCGACGGCGAAACTCCTAGACGCCAACGCAAGCTATCCGTCAGAGATTAACGAGAAATTTGGAAGGAAAGTTTCCAGCAACACATGCAGCATCAACCAAATCCGTGCAGATTTGTAGGTGTTTGTCTCGAAATCCACCGTAGTGAGGGTCTATCAAATGGAGCGGGCTCAACATTGCGACAGGAGAGATTTACTGAAGCAGCCGACGTCCACACAGAGACACTCGAGTTGGCTCGTCTTGGTTTTACTCGAAAGGACGCCGGCAACGGATTGGAACCAGGTGCAGCTGTAAAACTGGGCGCAGTTTCTGCACTGTAGAGTCTTTCAAATTCTTTGAATAGTCTTCTCCGACGAAAAGAATCATAACCCGGGCGCACACGGTAATGTCAGATGTAACTGGGGTGATCTGAAGAAAGACCCAGTGCAGATCAGCAAGCGCAGGTTTGGTATCGGTTCGCTGATAGTTTGAGGGGTCTTCTGTGGGACAGGAAGCTGGAGCTCGCATTTGTTTTTTACCGAATGGACTGACAAGAGCTTTGGGATCAAACTTATCGCTGTTCCTGAACTGCAGGCGGCGATAAAAGCTAGTTTTCTAGCAGGACAGTGCAAGTGTCCATGCTTACAGGTCAACGTCTGCGTGGTTCTAACGACAGAAAGTGGTCGTTATGGAGCGGCCTGCACGCAGTCCTGATCTGAACTCCATAGAAAACTTTGGGGTGTAATTGTGCAACAGGTTCACGACAACAAAAGGCGGTTTTCCAACTTCTACACAATGAAAAGGCGATCATGCTGCAGCATCGGCCCTTCAATCCTCGGCAGTTCAACAGTGAGTATGTCACATTGACTCATAGAGCTGCCTATTCGAACCGGAGAGCACCAATTGACAACTTATTTTCATTGAGCACTTTCTGACTTTGCATAAATAAACAGAAATTCAAAGTGGACGTATACTATGAAACGGTCAAAAAACGAAAAAATGCTTCTAAAAAATTTCGCCATAGACTTGCCTGTCTGAAAACATGTGTTCCGTAGTTTTCCTGGACAACGAATCCGATAATGTATGCTGCTAAATTGGGCCAGTCCTTCAAGAAACGTTTTCGGTAAAATCAGGGGTGGACGTATACCAATGAAACGCACTGTATAAAGGGAGCTCTTATCCACGTGTATGACAGCTGCCCGCGACTGAGCTCGCCTTCTAGCATTAGTGCGACCAAAAGCATCACACCTTCACTGTGAAGGAGTGGCTTCGCCAGCATGGCGCGCTTTCAACGAAAGGAACAATTCACACCAATGTCCCGAGCGCCATCGAAACATTATGGGAAAGAGTAGGGATACCTTTGGTGGAAATTAGAACCGGGAATATGGGCGAGAAACTCGTCAAATTTCAAGAGAAGTGGAGGAAGCTGCCCTAGTAGACAGTGCATTCAATGACTGATTCCTTACTTAGGCCTTGTTAGTATTTCAGCGAACCCAGAAGATCATTAACAAAGTATTGGACCTGCCCAGTGTTATTCATCATGCGTAAGATTGTTTTGTTGAATTGTAAGCTTGCTAGAGTAATTTGAAACCTACTTGGAATTTGCTCATACGCGAGAATTTCTAGTGAAATGATTTTTTCCATTCTTAATTCTTCTCAATCCGAAACAAATATGCCGTTTAAGTGAAGTAGGACTATCTCTAAAACATATTAAAATTTGAATTGATTTGATTCAGCGGAAAAAAAGTTACAGTCGAAAAACAATTTCGGCGAAGACTTTTGACCGCTACTGTATGTCTAACATGACATGATAAGTACGCTCGGTAACTTGTACAGACTCCGAGTCTTGCCGCACGACGAGCCTCCTGGGTACACCTGCAACAAGGCACCTTCAAACCTTGAGAAGTGATTCACGCCACTTCCAGGGTGGAAGCTGGTCTGACTGTACGCGTGGGTATACCGAGAGAGGATCTGTGAGGATAAAGGGTGATGGGGTAATCATTGAGAGATCGATACGATAGACTTTAATAGCGAGGAGATTGCGAGTTCGAGCGTGCTGTTATGTGCTACAGGGAGGGACGGTGGGGAAGGGGGATGCTGGGGTAATGAATGCGGTGCCTAGGGCGGGGCGAGATAAAAGCAGTGAAGAAATCCGTCAAAAACGCGCAAAATGGGACCACTTCCTCTGCCCGTTGACCTCCGGTAATGGACGAGTTGGCAACCAACTAAGAGGTCGTCGGCACTCGTTAAACCATAGCTGCCATCATACCACCAGAGATCATACCTTGATTGATATAGCATTCCATGAGAAAAAAATTGGATACGCGCTCGAAGTGGCATACCTTATCAGAATGATAATCGAACAGCGATCTGCTGAGGGGCGGAGCACAGGCGGAGGCGGAGCTCAGAAAGGATTGGCAGCCCCAGGGCGCTGCAACGAGCGCACCTTTAGTCACAAAAAGGCCACATCTCGATTCCTTTGGGCTCTAGCTACTGCTTGAAGTGCTGCTCGTTCTTCCATGCTGCACAGAAATTTTATCGTAAAATTTCTCGCTTTAAGAAGAAAACGTTGGCGACGCAGTGCAGTCCAGAATGAAATCGAACAATAACGCTGTTATTAACCCCTTCCATGTCTCACACGCAGGTGTACTGTTCCCCAGCATGGTGGCCGGAAAGTATAGGACGCGGCTTTGACCGCCTGCTGGTAAACTGAGCCGCGGAGTATTTTCCGGGTGTTTAAAAACACTTGGAAAGCTTTGAAACTATTAAAGAAAGCGCATACAGTTTGTTTGGGTCTAAAATCAGTCCAGAAACTCTCGCGCTGAAGGTGTTTTTGGTGCAGGGCGGTGCTGTTATCCAGGTTACATATGAGGCTTGGCCGGGGGTGGCGGACGAGGCGTTGAGTCTCTGTAGTTGCGGCTGTGGCAGCTGTTGTGAGAATATATTTATGCTCTCGTATCGGTTGAGCGCGGCGTTCTCTGAGTATCGCGTAAAAAGATGAATTCATAGAACTGGTGCACCCCCAGTAAGCAACTCACCTGAGAATGAGGTATTGGTCACAACGAGTGAATGTTTCCTGGTGGTTGTAGTTCATCTTAGTACACAGTCGTCTTTTTGATGGGCAGAGTGGGCTTGGCCGCCACTCCTTCAGGAAAGTCTGGGGGGGGACAGCGATTTGATTGCGAAGAGGTACTATCGAATCTCTCTTGTTGGTTTTTATGGAGCAACTTAGATAGATCAATGTGTTCGATTTAAAATGCCAAAAGAATGTTTCGCAGGCCGAGTCACGAAGCGTGCTTGAGGGGATCGGATTGGTGTTAAGTTAGATAATTTTCGGGTCTAAAAGAAGAAGTGTGCTTGGCGGACCACCACATGTTAATACTTAGTTGTTACCAAAACGCACGATGAGCAAGAACTCTGGGTTCTACGACAACACTTGCGTCAAAGGGTGTTAGTCTGTGACGGCGGGGGTTGGTGCGCGGGGGGGGTGCCGGGGTCCGGGGGGGGAGTGCCGGGGGACATGCAAGAGTGCACAGCTCCCTAGAGTTTATTTTCCGAGAAAAGCTGAAATTAACTCGAAGAACTGTTTGGCACAAGAGCGTTAATGATGCTATGGTTATGTTGTGTGCTGATTGACGATGTTACTTTGCTCAATGATCGCTTGCTCTTCAACTAACACCTTGACGACAGTGCGGCAACTATGCATGCCGCCATTTTTGCACCTCCATGGACATTGTGGCAACTATGTACGCCACACCAGTGACATTTTTTGCGCACATGCTCGATTTTTCCTCGCGCTTTTCGTTGGTTCATGTGATAGGGACACGACATCAACACACCAAGAACACGTAGTGACAAGTCTGTTTTGAAGCACTCACTTTCTTAATTCAGTATCTCATTTGTGAAGAACTTGGACAAGGTGCTTATGGTACGGTATATCGGGCTATAGAGAAGGCCACGGGGAAGACATGGGCCGCCAAAATGGTGCAGGTAAGACAAAATGCTTGGGTGAAAGAAAACCGCTCAAAATGCAGTACCTACCTTTTGTGCATTTCATGGACCGCCGTTGTGCTCACTGGCAAAGCTTCCGTTAAAATTTTGTGCTGCGTGAACAAAGCCTCCTAACTCACAACTTTGCCTAACAATAATTAAAAATCATTCACCACTCAGAAATGTGTACTAATCAAAAGAAGGTCTGGACCTTTTTTTCGGTTTCATTCATAGATAATTCGAAGATACTGCGGCAGTCCTTTCTTCCCGAGTGTACTGAAATCTTTTGGCATTCGTTGATCGAGCTTGGAACCTCACAACCTTGTTTTTTTCATGAACATAAGCAATCATGTGATACCATCCCAATCAGGATGAATATCGGTCGAGGAAATCCTCGACAGGGGGTCGCCTTTATCAAGGTGGGTCGTACTCATGGGGGTCAGTAACGTCAGTGGTAGTGTCAGTGGCAGATAGGAGGGTGTAGCGCAGCAGAAAACAAGGATATGTGAGAAAACATGATATAAAATATTCTTTGCAGGTTCAGTCGCTCCATTCCCTCTACCTTCGAGAAGGAAGTATTTGAAAGTAGTACAAAGAATGAAAGTGCATCTTTGCAAGGAACGGGGCCACATGTGCACACGCGCTGCAAAGGCACCTCCTCTATCTACCGCCCGCTCCCTCTCCCTTAATACCTCGTTGAGAATGACACTGTTGTTAGGGACGCTGTCGCAAAAACGACAATAGTTCTGGAAAGACCCTGGGCAAATGAAGCTGTTCCTTAGGTTATAGGAGTTACGAAATGTGTTTACTACAATACTTTCTGTCAACAGGTCATCATCATATGTATAACACCTTTCAATAGATTCTACAACTTGAGTGGAGGTCGGATGCATGGCCTATACTGAGACGAGATCGGACGATGACGATTGCCCCTTTTCTTGTCGCTTATGTTGGAGAATTTATTCTAGACACATTTCGAGCGTTGCCAACGAATTACACTTGCAATGGTGAAAGAAGGGAGCGGCTTTTTGAGCGGCCGAGAATCATCCTTGATAGATCCTCGACGCAATATCTCCTCAACTAGAAAATGTAGAAG